AGAACTACCCCACACATGACTTGGAGTTAGCGGCTATTGTCTTTGCCTTGAAGGCATGGCGCCACTATCTATATGGAGAACAGTTTGAGATATTTTCGGACCATAAAAGTCTGAAGTACATTTTCACGCAGCGGGACCTCAATATGAGACAGCGCAGGTGGATGGAGTACCTAGAGGACTATGACTTCACTTTGCATTACCATCCCGGTAAGGCAAATGTGGTGGCTGATGCACTGAGTCGGAAGTCACGGGGAGTTTTGGCCAGTATAGCTTCCCAGGAGTGGCTGATGCTTGAGACTGTTGGACAGTTCAGGCTACACTACAGAGGTCAGACTCATGGCACTTTGGGGAGTCTAGCGGCTACGCCTTCCCTACTAAGCAGAGTGATCGAGTCCCAGGGCCAGGATACAGAGATATTGTCTATTAGGGATCGCGTACAGTCGGGTACAGGTGACGAGGGCTGGGCCATTCACGCGGATGGTAGTCTTCGGTTCAGGGGAAGGGTTGTGGTTCCCCAATCTGCAGATCTGAGAGAGGAGATCCTTAGGGAGTTTCATTGCTCCCGTTTTGCTGTGCATCCAGGTAGTACAAAGATGTACCATGATCTTCGCCGCCAATACTATTGGAATGGGATGAAGAAGCACGTTGGAGATTTTGTTAGTCGATGTCTCACATGTCAGCAGGTCAAGGCTGAACACCAGAGACCAGCAGGGTTGCTCCAACCTTTGGAGGTGGCTGAGTGGAAGTGGGAGCACGTCACGATGGATTTTGTGACTCACTTGCCACGGACATCGCGAGGGCATGACGCAGTATGGGTGATAGTGGATCGGCTTACAAAGTCGGCACACTTTTTGGCAGTACGAATGACCTTCACACTGGAGGATTTTTGTAGACTGTACATACGGGAGATAGTTCGATTACATGGGGTGCCCGTATCTATAGTATCCGATCGGGACCCTAGGTTCACGGCCCATTTTTGGGAGAGTTTTCAGCGGGCCATGGGAACACAGTTGATGATGAGTACCGCTTTTCATCCCCAGACGGACGGTCAGTCAGAGAGGACTATCCAGACCTTAGAGGACATGCTACGGGCATGCGTCCTTGATTTCAAGGGTGGCTGGGAGGAGCATTTACCATTAGTAGAGTTCGCCTACAACAACAGTTATCAGGCGAGTATACAGATGACACCTTATGAGGCACTTTATGGGAGGCCGTGTCGTTCTCTGATTTGCTGGACCGAGGTTGGAGAGAGACCCTCCACGGGTCCGAATTTGATTAGAGACACTTCAGAGAAGGTGGACTTGATACAAAAACGTCTTATCACGGCTCAGAGCCGGCAGAAGAGTTACGCCGACAGACGGCGACGACCTCTGGAGTTCGAGGTTGGAGATCATGTCTTCTTAAAGGTGATGCCTAAGAGGGGAGTGGTCAGGTTCGGAAAGCGGGGAAAGCTGTCGCCGAGGTATATCGGGCCCTTCGAAATACTTGAGAGGGTTGGTACAGTTGCCTATCGGTTGGCATTACCGCCAAATCTATCTGGTGTTCACGCGGTGTTCCATGTTTCTATGCTCCGAAAGTACACTCCAGATCCTACACACGTGGTGGATTGGGGTGAGCTAGTGGTTGATGCGGATGGAACCTTTGAGGAGGGACCAGTGCGTATCATGGACAGCCGAGAACAGGTTTTGCGGGGCAAGACTGTGAGGCTGGTAAAGGTGCTGTGGCAGCACCGTGGGGTGGAGGAGGAGACATGGGAACGTGAGGACACTATCCGAGCTACCTATCCATTTTTGTTCGAGAATGGAGGTACATCTCTTACAGTCATAGAGTATTTAATGACTTTTTGCATATGCATGTCGTTATATATGCATGTGGGTATAATTTCGGGGACGAAATTCCCTTAAGGGGGAGAGAATGTAAAACCCAATAAAAAAATATTATTATTATTATTAAAATCCTAATAAAAAGGGTAAAATAATAATTAATTGTTAAATTATGGGTCAAAAACGTAAATTTTTTAAAAAAATATATATATAATATATATATATATATATATATATATATATATATATATATATATAAGTGGAAGACTTTGTCTTCCACTTTTTATGTTTTCTACAGCCGGTGAGACAGAGAGAGTGAGAAAAAAAAATGAGTTTTTATTTTTTTTTCTCTTTTCTTCCTTCTCAGATCTAGGAAAATTTAACCGTTTAATCGCTTCGGGCCAAGAACTAAAGTTGCTCTACTCAGCGAGAGCTACGCAACCACACCAAATATCGTATTTTTCTTCGAAGGAATATCAAAGCCGATAATCTAGGCCTAAAACTTAGGAAGCTAAATTTGGGCTTCCTTGGCGTTCTAGTAAGTGGTCTCACGCTACGAGAGGTAGGGTTTCCCCTATTTAGATTTAATTTCAACTTAAAATATGGCATATGGAATGAGTAGATTATGAGTGTATATCACATGTTAGGTCTTGACTAGTGTGACTAGTGGGTCAAATATAGAATTTATAATTAATCTTGTGATTAATAAAATTCTATTGTGATTAACTTGGTGTAAGTTAATGTTAGTAGTTTAAAGCATGTTAATTGTATGTTAGCATTACTTTATATTTTAATGGCAGATCAAGTTTAATAAAATTATTAACTTGTTATATGATTGTGAAATAATATATATATGTTAAATGATTATTTAACATATGATTATTTTGGTGGACTTGTGCTTATGTTAAACATGTTGTCATGTTGCAAGTCATAGCATGCTAGTTGTGTAAATTGATGTGCTCTTTAGGTGTTTGATTAAATGCCTAGGTGAATACAAGTATGTTAGTTGAGTTGATTATCTTACATAACATGCTTGAGATCGTGTTAAAATGTCATTATATTGTATTCATTATGTAATAGACATTGTATTTCATTATGCATGGGTTGCACTACATTCATGGGCATTGACATGGGTGAGAGTGTATGCATGGTATGAAATCAATCACCACGTAGGTGGTTGAACGTGGACTCGGAAAAGTCGCACCAAGGTTCGGTTGAGTCGCACGAGAAATTAAATGGATAAATGTGTTGGGGACAGCACGAAGGGCTAGATTCTCCCTCGGGTGCAAGACCCGCTTACTTGGTTTATACACTTTCCGGCGGTGAAATTCCAGAAAAGTGTAACGGCGGAAACGGAGCCGCAGGTGGGATGTCCTGAAGATCCGTTGATGGTTGGTGTCCCATTGGTGTAATACCATAAATCACCTCCCCACAAAGACACAAGAAAATGAATTAATTAGCATTGAGTGTACATAACACCAATGATGGGGGCTTGGAATGCTCGGATACATACGCATGACATTGCATGTGTTATGGGAGCTCAGGATAGGGCTTGGGGTTGGTATTGCTTGCGTGAGTCTCATCTCATGGCATGACATGATCTATAACATTCAATCATAATAGATATATTTAAATGAATGTATCAAATGATTGTTGCATGTGACATTCCATATGCATTTAGGTTGAGAGTTATTCTCTATAGGAGTTACCTTATTGAGCGTTGACTCACCCTTTATGAGAACATTTTTCAGGTATCGCACAGACATCCACCGAAGGCGAGGCCATGGGCCCGCTTTGACGACAGAGCCGGTCTGTGGCTTTTATTTTGACATTGTAGTCCCTTGTTTATACTTACTTTTGGCCTTGTATAATTTTTGTTACAAACATTTGTTTATATTTACAAAGGCATGTATATTGGACTTTTTTTGGGACATTTATTTTTTTACGAATAAATGTATGTACTGATAATGATTATGGTAGTATTCGAGACTATACAATTGTGATGGATAGATAGACCCGGTGTGGTCAATATTGTACAGGTTGCGTTTTGAGTAGAGCTCCTTGTACAAAGGAGACTCTGTCCAAATTTTGTTAAGTTATGGATCCCAAGAAATGGGGCATAACGGTGTGGTATCAAATTACACGATATCCACCAGTATTACACAGGTCGATGGATAACCAATCGGATAATTAGAGACACCCGGACTTTGGGGTGTCACATATCAACATGGTGCACCTCATAGTAAAGGGGCATGAAAAGGTCATGGAGACTTTGACCGAATGAATAGGGATCAATTGATAGACATTTTGATTGAGAAAGAGAATCCAGGATGAACGCTTTTTTCATTTGCTATGCACTGACTGGATGCATACTCACGTGATCAATTGATGAACGGGAGAATTGTGTGAATGACGAGACCGGCCTAACCTAAAGTAAAGGCTCTTCCCTCTCTTGATGGCGAATTACTTGAGTCGATGGATGGAGGGCTCCCCCTTCAACTCAAGCACGAAATCAATGTTGAGTTAACAATCATTGAAAAGGGCACCACCAAGCGAGATCGAGACCAGCCCCTTGTATAGGGTTCCAAACCTGCGCTTCTTCAAATATCCTAACATATAATAAAGTAGGGGCTTCAAAGCTTGACTAACAAGCGAAAAACTTGACTTTGAGAAAGAAAAGAGGCACGCTAGCTGCAATCAAACTAAAGGGCTAACGCCCTATCTAAGGAGCCCTTTCTTGCTCGTTAGTGCTTGACTAATAATATAGGGCTTTTTCAGCTTGATCGGAATCGATTCTATGATTGAATAGCAGAAGTTCTACTTAGTAGTCAAAACTCGGAGAGACAGACAGAAAGGAAACTCTTTCATACCGCAAACTCCTAGGATGAGAAGTAGGTCCCTTGTTTTTGGCAGGAATAGTTCTAGCCTTTGTGGCCCCTCGGTAGAGTGGGTCTACTTAGCGAACTGGCAGGACGCGGAGATCGATTGATCAATATGAATCTCGAGGGTGGATGGTTGATCGCTGCCTCTTTGTCCTGTAGGCTCTCCGGCAGGGGAGGGGCTTGCTATCGTAACCTTTTTTTTCTCCCGGTGTATGTGAAAAAGAATGACGAACTCATTTTTGTTCAGTCATAAGTTGGTCCAAAGAAAGAGAGTCGGCTTCCTTAAGTCCGTTGTTCCTCAGTAGCTCAGTAGCAGAGCAGTTGACTGTTAACTGACTGGTCGTAGGTTCAAATCCTACTTGGGAAGAATTTATAGTTCTTGCTTTTTTGACCTAGCGACCCCTGTCTTTCTCCTTAGTTTCTAAACTAGCAGAATCGTGGGAAGTTCATTGTTGGTTTTTATTCCTCACTCATATATCAGTGAACTTGGTTCGTTCAATTCTTAGGGAGAAAAAGGATCCATTGGGAATGAATGGGAAGACCGGAGTAGATTCTTCATTAGCCGGAAGGAATTAGTCTCCAGTAGCGTCATTCGAAGAACGAACAAGAAAAGGGTTACTGTTTAGGTAGGATAGATGGATGTGGTCCAATGGCTAAAGCTCCGCCAGCTTCTTGTAGATTGAACTCTCTACTCTTTAGGCTCTGACTTGTTTTTGGGTGGGATGGTTTTTTCTTTGCCACTAGTGGTAACGAAGTTCTTGGTAATTTGCAAGGCGGAAGGAAGATCTCCACTCATTTCATTCATTCAGTGCCTGCGGTGAGGCGCAACCCACAACAAACAAAGGGGGGGCTGGGGGAAGGCTGACAACTACATGAGGGGGAAGCTTTGCCCCTTGTTTACAGAGATTGTTATGAACTGACTAAATGACTAGATTCTCTCAGAACGCTAGCTAAGCTAATAGTCTTAGTTCCTTTCAATTAAATCGATAAGCTTTTTGATTTATTTAGGGCGCCGCCTCCTCCTTAGAACCCATTGAGGGGGGCCTCAGCCCGAGAAAGGGATAGTGGTCGAGCAGTCAAAAGCGACAGACTGTAAATCTGTTGAAGTTTTTCTACGTAGATTTGAATCCTGCCTCTCCCACTTGTTTGTTGTAGACTTCAGAGAAGAGAAAAAGGCATTCGTTAGTGTAGGAAGGCCAACTGAGCGAAGCTTTCTTTTTTTGGCTGTGCCGTGAAGTGAAATTATATTGTATGTTAGTTAGAGAGGTTGGCGAATTACTACGATCTATAGATTCCCTATCTATATCCAATCCCAATGAGAATAGAAGCGAGTCGCTTCTGGCTTGACTTGTAGTCGTAGTCTGTTAGCTTATGTAGTCGTCGGTCTTACTACACGCATGCGCCCGCCAGAATGCCTCCTTAGGGAACGCAAGTTTGTTCCATGATTTATGGGTTTACTGGAGCTACCCACTTTGATCAATTAGCCAAGATTTTGACCGGATACAAAATCACTGGTGCTCGATCTAGTGATATTTTTATGAGGATTCTATTTATTACTTTGGGATTCCTATTCAAGATCACTGTAGTTCCTTTTCGGGCGGTTGTATAGGTGGTAGGGTAGGGTGGGTGGTACTGCTCAGATTGCGACCAATCTTCCTAATCGCATGCAGGCCGGGCTTAGAGCATGTGAAACTCATCACTACCTCGTAAGGGCGTTGAGACCATAGCATATTACACGAAAGTGCCGCTTTCTCTGTAGTGTTGTCACACAGCTGCCTGCCTAGAAGAGCCACTCGCTTTGTAGTGTTGTTACACAAGATAAGCACGCTGCCCGCCTGCTGGCTGGACGAATTGAAGTTCTCCTCCAGTCAACTATCCAACCAATCAAGTGCAAAAAATACAGTAGAATCACGCAACGCACGCTGCTGGTGTGCTTCCTGCTCGCAAGGAAAGAAAGAAGAGCGATAAGGTTCAATTTAGATTTGACTGTTTGTAGCATGGGAGCGGATTACCCAAAAAATACAGGGGAACACTGAAAAAAAAGAGATCTCAGTAATGAAAACTATAGGGGGCTGTATTGGCGAGATCCAACGGTGAACAACTGCCCAAAAGAAAAACCGCCTGGAAGTCCGAGGACCTTCAGTACTGTACTCTACCCCCGAACCAGCAGCCTTTGCTCCAAGCAAGACCACCCTTGTCCCTTTCCTTTCTCCATTCCGCCTCCTTCCTTTTGATTATGTCGTGACGCTTTGGTTACCGGCGAACACTTCCAAAGGCAACCCTCTCGAGTTTTGGCTGTTTACTAGATTGAAGTTGCCTTTCGTCGCCCTACCAAACGAAAGAAGTCACTATCAAACAGCTCGCTCTACTGAAGTACCAAAGGTGCGCTCTGCCTGGTGACTAAGAAATGGGTTTGCGCTTGAATTGAAATGATGAGATCACAAAGAGGGAAGTAGGGCTCCTATTGACTAAAGGTTGGGTCTTCGCTTTTCTTTAGAATGAAAGTTGCTATGAAGCCCTACTACTTACTTTGTTTAATTCAAAAGGCGAATAGCCCCCCAACTAGTTGTATAGGGTGGGGTGCTTGTGATAAGCTGCCTTGGATATGAAGAATTCCTAAAAAAATAGGCAAAGTCCAGTATTTGACGAAGATATTTCTATCAATAGATAGGAATGAGTGTTCGAAATAGGGGATAAGATCCATCTGATCTTTATCTCTCCATTTTTTTGAAAGCGAGTAGATATAACGATATAAAAAAGAATCGGTAGATGATAAAGGATACATAGACATCTAAAGGGATGTCTATTCGCTTCGCCCCTCTTTTTTTTAGAGAAATATATATGGTGTATCTATCATTGATTCTATCTATGAATCAAGTCAAAAGACTTCGTTTTTGGGTTCCCTGAAGCCCCGAATGGATTGGGTCGTTTCTGCCAATGAAATGAACGCGAATTCCGTTCCAAATGCTTCTCCGATCCTGAAGTTCTCGCGAAGAGAATAAGATGTTGTTCCCCTGCCCTCTGTCTTTTCCCACTTTGCTAATCTTCCCCTCTAATGCGGGCCGGGCGGCGGCGGGCGCGAGAGGAAGAAACCTAAGAGAAGATGCTCTTATCTTCGATCCTTTTTTTTTCAGTGCAACACAGGAAAACGCCCTCTTTTTGTCATCCCTGCAGCTTTCCAGATTTTGTATTGAATGCATGGCGTAGCTAGGACCCTTCAAATCATGTTTGAGCCTATGTTCAAACCAAACCCACCCCTTATTTGACTAAGGCTGGAAAGAATGTCCGCCAAGTTCAGATAAGGGAAAGGCTCGACGAAGGGAGGGAGATGCAGCGGGGGAAGGAAAATGCTTTTTCGACCGCAGTGGTATGATTGCCGAGCTCTCTCCTCGTTTTGCCCGCTGGCCTATTCGGATAGCAGCCTTCGGGCTTTGCCTGCCCTTTAGAATAAAAAATTTTGGCTCTGCCCAGAAAAGCGCTGACAATAACAAAAAGGAAGGTGTAATATCCTGACCCATCCTTGAGTATGTAGTAGTTATAACATAGAGTTTTATATTGTAAATATTCTTAAACTTGAACTATTATGTTGAAAGGTCTCTTAAATATAAAATGTTAGTATAAATAAATAATAATTCTTAAAAGAGAGTTTTGAAGGATCTAGAAGAATTCGGAAAGTTCTAGAACAATCGAGAAGTATCCGGAAAGTTCTAGAACAATCTAGAAAAGCCTAAAATATTTCGAAAAATTCCGGAAGGACTTAAAAGGTTAAAGAAGACTTTAGAATATCATAGATGAGTTTAGATATTTGTGGAATTACCATGTGCAAAATAAGCTTGAAATCTAGAAGGATCTAGGAAAGGGGAGATGGTAGAATATTCTAGGGAATCTCCCTAAAAATATCACATGTCAATACTCTTTAGAATAATCCTTGGATGCCTATAAATAGGACATTTAGGAATTGGATTAAGTACACAAATGCACAAGTAGTCTTCCACTATGTAGAAAGAATAGAGAAGTAAGGAAGAATAAGTCATCAAAGGAGAAAGGAAATTGTAAAGGCATTGATAACATCCAATCGACTTCGGGAAAACAAGCAACATACCATTTGGACTTGATGTAAGTGGGTTGACATGCTACGTATTTTCGAAAACGCCCCGTATCCCTAAACATTTTTAAAACAATATATCATGCTTGTTCATTACTACTTTTACAAAATATTTTACAAAGTGTTTAAATACTTGTGGCATTCGTTTCTCCTTACCTTGATAAATTCTTTTGTGAAGTATTGTGACTCAATCACTTGTTTATATGGTGAGACTTAATAATGGTGAATGAGACCAAAATTAAAAGTTCAGGAAAATTATTCCTCTGTGTGCGGGTAACTCTGGCCACTAGGGAACAGACCCGGGGGAGGCTGTGGTGACCCTAGTGCTCAATGGTTGAAGGAACAGTGCCTGGTGCGTCCTGGTGACCTTCACCGGATCGTCTTAGGGAACAGTTCCTGGGCACTAACCCGTGGTGACCCTAAGTACGATGTTGGATCCAACCTTGAGATTTTCTGATATTTGGTATAGTTCCCAGATATCGTACAAGTCCTTACCATTATGAGATGATATAATTCGTCTATCATATGTCATACATATTTTCTTGTTATCAGTTATTTTATATTCCCTGTTTTCAAAATGAATATTACTATGTGTGCCTTATCATTCACTGGACTTTAAGCTCATTCCGTTAGATTATGTTTTTTTTTTCCAGGTGAGACTGGAGTGTCGCTAGCAGACTCTGGAGATTTTTGTAGACTTGATTGTGTCGTGACCTCCATAGGATGTTTTTGTCCATCATCTTATGTAGATAAGTATATATGCATACATGTACTTCATCAGTAGACGCTCGGTATGTATGAGCGGTAATCCTCTTTTGTTCAGGTTATGTAGACATGTTATTTAATAATACAAGGATATTTTGTGTTTGTATTTTCTCTTAATGGTAATATTAATGATAGGTTTACATGCTCCATGGATATCCATGGTTCATTGCCGGTCATATCCCTCAAATCGGGGTGTGACAAAGGGGTCCATGTAGTTGCTGCGCCCGCCTCCTTCTTAGTCAATGGGGCAGTAGGCTCGGCATCTACTACAAAGAGAAAATCCACTTCAGATAACCACGCCTTTGCTAGGCAGCGTGTGGAATGGCCGAGAGCAGACCCTTTTGAATATATAATCCAAGTCGAGAGTAGAGTTAGGGGAACAACGGTCTGACGGAAACGACTTTCACGTTCAGTTCAGAAAGCACTTCTTTCGTTGGGAACGGAATTCAAAACTTGTGGGGCCCTATCTATTCCAACTCTCGAGCCCCGAAGAAAACCCCACTCCCCTTCGGACACCATATCTCTTTTGACTCTATATATGTGGGCACCTGATATCTATGAGGGTTCACCCACCACACTCCCTTTCTATTGCACCTAAAATTTCTATTTTTGCTAATATTTCATGTGTTTCTATTTATGGTTCCTGTGGAGCTACATTGCAACAAATCTTCTTTTTCTACAACATTGTTTCCTATGATCTTAGGAGCACTGGCCGCCATGGCCCATACGAAAGTCAAAAGACTTCTAGCTCATAGTTCAATTAGACATGTAGGTTATATTCGCATTGGTTTTTCATGTGGAACCATAGAAGGAATTCAATCACTATCTTTATTTATGCATCAATGATGATAGATGCATTCGCCATAGTTTCAGTATTACGGCAAACCCGTGTCAAATATATAGCGGATTTGGGCGCTTTAGCCAAAACGAATCCTATTTCGGCTATTACCTTCTCCATTACTATGTTCTCATACGCAAGAATACCCCCGTTAGCCGGCTTTTGTAGAAAATTCTATTTGTTCTTCGCCGCTTTGGGTTGTGGGGCTTACTTCCTAGCCCTAGTGGGAGTAGTGACTAGCATTATAGGTCGTTGGGCGACCGAAAGGTTGCCACGAGTAAGTCAGTTTGGGAGACCAAAGGCAGTTCTCCGTGCACCGGACACGTAGCTTACCGAATTAGTTGCGACACGGATGGGAATGCATGCTACGAAAGATAGGGTCGAGTCTGATACATCAACCGTCTACTCAATATCCTTGTACGAGTCCATAATCACTACACGAGATGAACCTTGGTTTGGTGAATTGAAGTTGGCCTTAGGGGTAAGACTCCCAGTTACTACACACGATCGTGTGCTCCCGGCCAGTTGTTGGAATGACGCGAGCGGGGCCAAGTCTCGATTCAGAAAGATGAAAGGCCAAAAAGTATAAATAGGGGGTTACAAATTTCCCATCTCATTGGGGGCAGAAAACGAATCGACATCTCGATGTGATACAACATTTTCTATTTTAGTTGGGAAAGAACAGCGAAGTCCATCCGAACCGTCCAATGAAGAATAAGAGGATAGCAAAGCGCCAATGGTGCGCGATCCAGAACAGCACAAAAAAAAAAAGAAGTGTGGAGGAGAAACAGTCGAGCTCATTCCCTTCGCTTCCCGGGTCCAAAGCAGTGCAGTCTTTCCTGGCCAAATCAAGGATTTAGGGTTTCTTATATATATATATATACACACAGGTTTACAATTGTAAGATTAGAACAAAACCATTGGAGTTAAGAAGTTTATAAATTGTCAAGAATCATAAATGAAGGTTATAACAGCAATAGTGAGATTGCGAAGGACCCCGAGAGAGAGAAGAGAAAGAGGGGGGAATGGATTACCCCTTTCCAATAATTATATAGGAAATAATTATATGACCTTTAGATCCTGAGATAAACCAGAGTTGTAATGCCAGTATGATAAGTTCAAGGAAGCCAAAGTGTAGTACTTCCCTTCATCGATCTATTTCTAGGTTTTATTCTATCGCTCATATTTCTCTTTCTATTTGCTCACACTAACGTATTCTCAGCCTCATCCATCTCCATTTCTCTTCCGCATTTCTTTTCTCACTCATACTCATATCTCTACTCCACTCCATTTTTCTCTGATTCTTCCGTCTCTATCATCCATTAATGTCACCGCAACTAGCAACAACATAATGCCATCCACCACCGCTACCGACATGATCATCCAATGCCACCAACAGTGTTGCTCGGTCTCTCTCCTATTCTTGTTTGCTCACCACCACCACCCAACAATGAAATTAGGACCACTAACGTTTACCACTATCGTCAATTGCATAGCTCCATCCACCACTAGCATTTATCACTAACCAACAAACCAACTTCTTATCCTCCTATTCATGAATTAACATGGTATAAAGTGTCATATAAATGGACACATGTCTAGTTATAAACTAAATTGTGATTGTCAAGCGGAGAAGAAGGTGTAGACGTTGGGCGTTATGATTATTCTATGATGGTGTGGTCAGGGTAGTTGTCACACCCCAATTCGAGGGATATGACCGGCCATGAACCATGGATATCCATGGAGTATGTAAGCCTATCATCAATATTACCATTAGGAGAAAATACACACACAAAATATCTTTGTATTATTAAGTAACATGTCTACATAACCCGAACAAAAGAGAATTACCGCTCATACATACCGAGCGTCTACTGATAAAGTACATATATACATATATACTTATCTATACAAAATGATGGACAAAAACATCCTATGACGGTCACGACACAATCAAAGTCTACAAAAGTCTCCAGAGTCTGCTAGCGACACTCCAATCTCTCACCTGGAAAAAAAAAATAATCTAACGGAATGAGCTTAAAGCTCGGTGAATGGTAAGGCACACATAGTAATATTCATTTTGAAAATAGAGAATATAAAATAACTGATAACAAGAAATTATGTATGGCATACGATAGATAATCATAATAAAACCAATAACTAAAAACGTTGTAATAATAACGAATTATATCAACTCATAATGGTAAGGACTTGTACGATATCTAGGAACCATATCAAATGTTAGAAAATCTCAAGGTTGGATCCAACACCGTACTTAGAGTCACCACGGGTTAGTGCCCGAGAACTGTTCCCCAAGACGATCCGATAAAGGTCACCAGGATGCACCAGACACTGTTCTTTCAACTGTTGAGCACTAGGGTCACCTCAGCCTCTCCAGGTCTGTTCCCTAGTGACCATAGTCACCTACACACAGAGGAATAATTTCCCTGAATTTTTAATCATGGTACCATTCACCATCACAAAGTCTTATCATATAAACAAGTGATCGAATCATAACATTTCACAAAAAAATTCATCAAAGCAAAGAGAATCGTATGCCATAAGTATTTAGACACTTAGTAAAATATTTTGTAAAAGTAGTAATGAACAAGCATGACGTATTGTTCTTAAAAATATTTTAGGGATACGGAGAATTTTTTAAAATACGTAGCATGCCAACCCACTCACCTCAAGTCCAAATGGTATGTTGCTTGTTTCCCTGAAGTAGATTTAGATGTTATCAATGCCTTTACAACTTCTTTTCTCCTTTGATAACTTGTTCTTCCTTCCTTTCTTCCTTATTCTTTCTAGAAAGTGGAAAATTACTTGTGCATTTGTGTGCTCAATCCAATCCTCAAATGCCCTATTTATAGGCATCCAAAAATTATTCTAGAGAGTATTGACATGTGATATTTTTAGGGGAAATTCCCTAGAATATTCTATCATCTCCCTTTTCCTAGATCCTTCTATATTTTAAGCTTATTTTGCACATGGTAATTCCACAAATATCTGGACTCATCTATGATATTCTAAAGTCTTCTTTAACCTTCTAGGTCTTTCCGGAATTTTTTGGAATATTCTAGACTTCTCTAGATTGTTCTAGAACTTTTCGGATACTTCTTGATTGGTCTAGAACTTTCCGAATTCTTCTAGATTATTTATTTATATTGACATTTTATATTGAAAAGACTTTTCAACATAATAGTTCAAGTTTAAGAAGATTCACAATATAAAACTCTATGTTATAACTACTACACACTTCCTTCTATATTTTAAGCTTATTTTGCACATGGTAATTCCACAAATATCTGGACTCATCTATGATATTCTAAAGTCTTCTTTAACCTTCTAGGTCTTTCCAGAATTTTCTGGAATATTCTAGACTTCTCTAGATTGTTCTAAAACTTTTCGGATACTTCTCGATTGTTCTAGAACTTTTCGAATTCTTCTAGATTATTTATTTATCCTGACATTTTCCTAGATCCTTCTATATTTTAAGCTTATTTTGCACATGGTAATTCCACAAATATCTGGACTCATCTATGATATTCTAAAGTCTTCTTTAACTTTCTAGGTCTTTCCAGAATTTTCTGGAATATTCTAGACTTCTCTAGATTGTTTTAGAACTTTTCGGATACTTCTCGATTGTTCTAGAACTTTTCGAATTCTTCTAGATTATTTATTTATACTGACATTTTATATTGAAAAGACTTTTCAACATAATAGTTCAAGTTTAAGAAGATTCACAATATAAAACTCTATGTTATAACTACTACACACTTAAGGATGGGTCAAGATATTACATCCTTCCCCCCTTAAAATAATTTCGTCCTCGAAATTACGATTCTTACCTCAAGTAGCCTCCTCTATTTCATGAATTGCGCCACAAGACCTTGACCAACTTGATTGTCTTGTTGCGTAACACTTTCTCCTTCGTCCTCGAAATTACGATTCTTACCTCAAGCGAACAAATATTGGTACTTGTCGCGTATTTCCTCTTCCTGTTCCCAGGTAGCATCCTCTATTTCATGATTGTGCCATAAGACCTTGACCAACTTGATTGTCTTGTTGCGTAACACTTTCTCCTTCATATCTACAATTTTCACCGGTTGCTCTTCGTAGGTCATGTCCTTCCAGACATGAAGTGGTTCATAATTAACCACATGTGACGGGCTACGCACGTATTTCCTTAACATAGATATATGAAAGACGTTATGGACACCCGCCAGTTTAGGTGGTAAAGCTACTCGGTAGGCCACCTCTCCAACTTTTTCCAAGATCTCAAAGGGTCCAATGTAACGAGGACTCAACTTCCTTTTTTGCCAAATCGGATAACTCCCTTCCATGGCGACACCTTCAAGAATTCCATATCTCCAATCTGGAACTCCAAATCTCTTCTTCGGTTGTCGGCGTAACTCTTTTGGCAGCTCTGTGTAGTTAGGAGCTTCTCCCGTATGGTAGCGATCTTCTGAGTTGCATCTTGAACCAAATTAGGCCCTAAAAGCTGTCTCTCTCCAACCTCATACCAACATAAGGGAGACCTGCATTTCCTTCCATATAATGCTTCATATGGCGCAACTCCAAGACTAGAATGGTGGCTATTATTGTACACGAACTCTACTAATGGTAATTGGTCATCCCAGTTTCCTTTCCATTCTAGCGCGCAAGCCCTTAGCATATCCTCCAATGTTTGGATGGTCCTCTCAGACTGTCCATCAGGTTGTGGGTGGTAAGCCGTACTAAAATTTAGGCACTTGGAGTGCACCCCAAAACTTAGAGACGAAGCGAGGATCGTAATCCGAGATGATTGACACGGTGCACCATGGAGTCTGACTATCTCTTTCACATACAGCTGTGCAAGTCGATCAAGTGGATAAGTCATCTTGATGGCAATAAAATGTGCTGACTTAGTAAGCCAATCTACTACCACCCAACCGCATCATGACTACCACCTGAACGAGGCAATCCCAATACAAAATCTATGGTGATGTGCTCCCATTTCCATTCTGGTAAGGGTAAAGGCTGAAGCTTTCCTGCAGGCCTTTGATGCTCCACCTTTATTTGCTGACTGGTGAGACATTGTTCTACATACTCTGCAATGTCCTTTATGCCGCTCCACCAAAAATGAGCTTGTACGTCTCTATACATCTTTGTACTGCCTGGATGGATGCTATATCCAGCGCTATGTGCATCAGCTAAGATTTCCTTCTTCAATTCATCATTGGCAGGTATACAGAGTCGCCCTTTGTACTTGAGTGGTCCATCCTCATCTATAGCGAAATCCAAACTCTTTCTTTTTTGCAGTTCTTCTCAAATCTTCACGTAATGTGGATCGCCTTGCTGCCCTTCTTTGACTTTGTCTAGTAGTGTTGGTTTGACAGTTAATTGACTACAAAGTACACCTTTTCCATGATGTACTATCTCAATCCCCAAACGTCAGATATCGCCCACTAATTGTGGTTGAGCGGTTAAGGTTGCCAAACTACCTTCAAAAGATTTTCTACTTAATGTGTCTGCCACTACTTTCCCTGGACGGTACAAGATATTGACATCATAGTCCTTGGGTTAAGTTCCTTTTGCGTGAAGATATATTTTAAGCTCTTATGGTCTGTGTAGATATCACAAGACTCCCTGTATAGATAATGTCTCCAAATCTTCAACGCGAAAATGACTGTCGCCAACTCCAAGTCGTTGGTGGGATAGTTCTTCTCGTGTGACTTTAATTGACGGGATGCATATGCTATCATCCTTCCATACTGCATAAGAACACATCCCAATCCTTGGCGAGAAGCATCACTATAGATAACATAATTACCACCCTCAGTTGGTAGTGCAAGGACAGAAGCTGTAGTTAATCTTT